GTCTATCCCCTTAGGAGGCCCAAGTCTATCCCCTTAGGAGGCCCAAGTCTATCCCCTTAGGAGGCCCAAGTCTATCCCCTTAGGAGGCCCAAGTCTATCCCCTTTTAGGAGGCCCAAGTCTATCCCCTTAGGAGGCCCAAGTCTATCCCCTTTTAGGAGGCCCAAGTCTATCCCCTTAGGAGGCCCAAGTCTATCCTTAGGAGGCCCAGGTCTATGCTCAAAGGGCTTAGCCTGTCATACTGTTCTGCCTCGGCCGATGACCTGTTTTCGCTGGGACACCCGGGCGCCCAAAGGGTCAGGTGTCAGCATGTCAGAAGAAAGTGTCAGCGAGTGAATTGAGGAAACAGTAACACCAATGTGCTGATCTGAAATACGTGGTTTAACCTTTACAGTAGATATAGGGGTTTCGTGTAAACTCCCTTGTGAACCAACAAGGCTTTATTGGCCGACTGTGGGTCCAAGAGTGTACTGTACAGGGAGCTGTCAAAAACGACACCATCGACGCCTTCAACGACCCTTGGAAGCTGCCCCAAAACTCGATCGGGCTGGCCGCTGTGGCTGCTGTGGCTGTAAGCGATCTGGAAGAAATCAAAGGTGTTGATGCCGATGCGATCAGCACAAAATCAACGCGCTGGGCGACCTGGAAAGAAACATGAAACAAATCCAACAAGCTTCGTGGAACCCACCTAGCAAAGACTTCAGGAACTGAGAATGACATTCATTACAGACTGACACAGGGCATGCTTGAATACTGCAAGTCCTAACTTTCGTTGAGGACTCAAGCCACAGCGCCCTTGCGCATGCCCTTGCGCATGGGGGGCCAGCCCTCTGTGCAGGAAAAGACGGGCTGCTGCTCTTTGGCCCCACATGTCATCACTCTCTGAATCTGTTGAACCTGTTCTTCCCCAGCTTGAGAAAGGCCTGGAACACAGCAGACGCTGCGTCGACCCAATCGCGCCTGGCGCTGGGAACCGGGGAACGCCCTGGACCCGCGAAACCCGACTTCCCCCGTTTGGATTCCTGAAGCAGCAAAAGCATAAAAGGTGAAGCAAACGTTCCACCTGGATTTCAAAGTGGGGATGTGCCCCCAATTCCACCCCAAACAAGTTGGATTTCAGTGGAGTGTGCCCCATTTCCAAAAAAGGTGACCTGTAATTATAGGTGATCCACGCATTTCCTGATTCTCTTTTGTGAGTGGCGCGTGGAGGTCAGTCCATGAGGGTCACACTTCTGTTTCCATGATGTCCGACAAGAAGAATAAAGGGTTCGGTGCCAAGTGCTAATAGACCTGGTCCTCTATTAGCCAACCAACCAATAGCAAAAGTCACAAAAAACACTCGGACTCACTAACATGGAAATGGAACATCCGCTGTCTCTAGAGGAAGTAATCTTCCACGAGGCCATGCCATATATATATATATATATATCTGTATGTTCCGTGTCTGAATACATCCACAGTGAAAGCACGCGGGGGAGCGACTCTTGCAAGTTTAGTCGACGAAGGCGTGTTCCGGAAGTTGACGGAGCTGGGGATTGGTTGTCAACCAAAGCAACCAGCAACAACCAGTCACCTGATCATCCTAACATATCAGATCAAAAAAATGGCTATTGACACTGGCCTGGCAACATTCCTGGATCGGTTCATCTTCCAACATCGTCGGTTCATCGAAGAGGTTGGGACTACGTATATTCTACGCGTGTATATAGATACACATCCCCGGAGCCAGCACCCCAAGAGCCCAAAACCCATCGAGCGGACTAGAAGGTCGTCCGAGAGTCTGTCCTCCTTTAAACTGGAGATTCCTTTCTCGCACCGGCGGCGGCAAAGATCACGGTGATTGACCTGGTTGCCTCATCTTTTGGCAGGAACATACGTAGATGCCTGAGCTTGTATGCAAAGTGATGGGTGCCAGCCAGTCCCAGGGATTCAACATATCCATTGAATCCCATTTACAGCTCGACACGATGCTTTGTCTTTGTCTCCGAAAGGAGGGCCTCTCCCGGTCCAGCGTAGACCGCCACGAAGAAGCTGCGCGTCAGCCAAGCATTGACTGGCGATGCCAGGGATCGAAGAAAGCGATGCCAGGCTCGTCTCAATCACTTCCGATAGCTTGGGCCCACCATTGATTTCAAGGTTTTTGACCAGAAGAACTATACCAATTGAATGAACCATTGAGACTAAGGAGAAATTGAGATAACACACCAGGTCAATCCTTCTGTTCATGATGTTCTTTGCTGGGGTACCTTTCTAGTAACTATACATGAAGGAACCACTACCAACAAAAACAATGCCAAGTCTTACCTGCTGTAGGGGGAGCGGGAAGAGTGTCTAATTCACTCTTGGTTCGACATGCGGAATCTCGGATGGTGGATGCTATCCAACAGGATGGCGTTTAGTCCCTGAAGTGGACACAACATAACACAAAGAGTCGTGCTCAACAACTCGCCCAGAATGGATGCCTTTGCATGACGCTAACTCACGCCAACAGGGGGCTGCAATCAAGAATTCAATCATCCCTAAGGATCCAAGTACCCTCTGAGAAGGTGTTTGGGGTGGGTGACAGGAGGGTCCAAGTAACTACCTTTTGAGGAGGTACGACTGGATCCCTAGGGCATATGACGAAACACCGAAAGCGCTGACTTTTCCGACGTTTTTTTGGTGCTTGTTGGGCTCCGCGGCTTTTTCAAAAGGAACACCACTCGAGCGGTTCGGACCGAAACGGACCTCGAACGATGGAATTCATCCGGTCCAGGTGAGGCGTCCGGGTGTTTTTCTTCCCTCTCTTGAGTCCGGTTTGGTGCCCCAAACCCCGAACCGGCCCCAACGACCCTCTCGAGGCTCGGCGCACCGAACCGGCCTCGAAGCCCGAGATGGCTGCAGCCCGGCGGTTCCGCGCGCGGCGCACCATCACCGCCTCGGTGGAACGCCCGGAATGATCCGGAACGATCCGGGTCCAAACCGAAGGAGAGGGGACTTGTAGAACATGCTCTGGCGCCTCAGCTTTGGTGTTTTGTTGTTTGGCCAGCTTGGTCAACTCCAGCAGCTACATGAGACATATCCTCCAGTGCCCTAATTACATATCCTCCAGTGCCCTAATTACTCATTCCCAGCCCCAGTATCCATTTCGCTGGCACACACCAATCGCCAAGAAACATGTGATTGGCATCCGGATACAGAACCCCATCCTTCCAAAATGTTGCTCCCCAACATATCCCAACTGGCAGCCGTCCAAATGCCGTCAGGCCCCGGACGGGTAAAGAAACAACTAAGAGCAAACAGAAACACCTCACACACAAACTTGCGGACTCATCCACGTGTCGCCCCTAAAAGCAGTCACAGCGTACAATACGCAGTCACAGTCACCACGAAAAAGTGGGTCGGAGATGTTCACCGCTGCCGACGGAGCGGAGGAGTCAGTGAGTCACACAGGAACCGGGGAAAGAAACCAGAACACCCTATCCTGGACCCGACTGAAACAGCACAGGAAAAGAACAACGTACTATAACGTATTATTATACCCATTACATCCCATTACCATCCAGTACCAGTGGATGATGATGGCTATATGGTTTTTACGGTCATTCTCTAATCGTGGTAATAGGAGGAGACCTTCTAAGCCAAACCAAGGTCTTTCGACCCGACCCACAGGGTGCCCCGAACAACGGGACCCTTCGGGCCGCCGCACGGCCACCGAAGCCACGACCAGCACCTGCGGGTGTCTTCCGCGCCGCGGCCAGGAGCGAAGTGATGGTGTTGCGTTGATTCGGAACGAAAAACCGAAGACAGAAGACAGGTGCACGCTAGGTTGGAGGTCATCGCAGTCTAGGTTGGAAGTAGGAGGTAAATTATACGGTATAATTAGCTGGTAGACTGGGTCATCATTTCAGCCATTCGTCGTGAACCTGGACGAACTAGACGTGTCTATTCCCCTTGGGGCAGCAAAGGTGCTGGGTCCTTTTAGGGCCGTGACGGGTCCTCTGCAGTGGTGACCTGATTCACGTTGCATTGCACTGCCCCCAGAGTGCCCCCCCAAGAAAAATCAGGACTCCACCCTCGGCATCCACCAGCGGGGAGCTGTCAAGGGCCAAGGGGTTTGGCTTTGAGAACTTCTTTTGGTAATACAAAATGCACTTTTTCGAGACATCCACAAAACCAATTCAACACATGTTGCGAAACATGCATACTGCTGAGACTCAACTGACTCAACCTTCGACCTCCAGGCTGGCCCTGGGCGCCCTTGGCATCCTCTCCAGGCTGCCCCCCCTCCAGGCTGCCCCTACCGTCAAGCCAGCCAGGAAGGTCCCATGGCCTGCACCGTGGAACACGGTGTGGTGGTTTCTGTCAAGCGGCAGTCGAACAGAGTCTTGCCCTAGGACTCCAGTCGTACATCCGAAACGAAGCTACGACTCCTGGCACCCACCGTCCGCACCCACCTCGACCCTCCTGGCTTCCCACGACTGGAGCCCAACGACGGTGGAGCCAAGCCCAACCGAAAAGCGCTCTCCGAGCGGATCCCAGCAGCGCCGGAACACGGTGCTCTCGGAACTGGTCCCGGTCCCGGTCCGTACCCGGAACTGGGCGGTGGACGAAAGAAGTCACAAATCACCGACCATGCAAGTCTCGGGGAAAACGGCGGGTCTCAATGAAAACCGGGAGAAAGTGGTCTGCCTCTTGATCCAGAAAACAGGAACGATTGAAAGGGGATTCAACCAAGTATACATGGTTCAGAGTTCCGTTTTGGCCGGCTGAACTGGGTGGAGGTGCGTTGTGCTGCGAATCCCATTTCGGATGTCCTGGGGTGCTAATCTCGGATGTCCTGGTTGCAAATCGCAAGTCTTCTCCCCCAGTCGTCTCAGTCCAAGCAGTCATATCCACTGGATAGATTTACGGTCTAGCCCAAATGCTCCATGTATAATTGCATATCTACCAGGACCTTCCAACAGGTGGTTTTTGGCCACCTCTTAACCTCTAAGAGGCTATTTATAGACACCTCTTGGAAGGTCCTGGTATATTGACCCCTGAAATGATGCCATACATGGAGTGTTTGGTTAATAAGACTTTCCATTTGGACCCCTGGAAGAAAAACAAACACACACACAACCAAAGCTGGCGCTCCCTATTCCAAACTCAACCCCCCCAAAAATGCCTTCAGTACACATCATCTCCGCTTTGGGACCTTCACTGACATATGGTGGCAACATAAAAGGCTCTTGATGAAGCTAGGCCTTCTGTCGACCTTTTGATCAACTGCCATATATAATATCTAGTAATCCTTGCAAACATTTTGGGGAGACTTCTCTCCACCGCCCGTTTTTGGAGGCTGCTTTTCCAACTTGGAATGTCCTCCATCAACCACTTTATATGACTTGAGAGGAGGGAGACACGAAAGGTAGGACAGCGGGAAGAGAAGAGAACGCGAGAAGCAGGAAGAAAAATGCAATGTTCGACATGGTGATGTATCCCCTCGGAGGCGACCTTTCGTAAATCGTAAATATATGTTCATATGCACTCTAATTGTTCAAACATATGCTCTGGAAATGTTCAAAAATATTCTTAGGAAAACAAACTTGCCCCATGGATCAGATCATCGGTGAGCATTGAATCGGAGCATCATAGGATTTGAACTATCCTGAAACCATAAGAGGCTCACGAAGACGCTCCCCAGGAGAGAATTGACGTGCTTCACAAAACAAACTCTAGGTATGTATCCCCTCGGGGAACACCTTTCGTGATTAGAATTTCATATGCACTCTTTCTAAATGTTCAAGAGGGTTTCAACTATCCTGAAATCATGAGAGGCTTACGAAGACGTTCTCCAGGAGAGAATTGAATTTAGAGGGCGGGGGGGTCTGTATTGAAAAATCAATTCCCAGGGGGCCGGGGGGGGGGTGTGTATTGAGAGGGGGGGGGGGGGGGTGGGGGGGGGTTTGAATTGAGTGATCAATTATTAGACCCGGACGTCCCAACACTTGCTTCGCAAGACAAACTCAAGGTATCCCCTAAAGGGCTACCTTTCGTGATTTGCAGGGTGTGTTTAGGAAACCGTTGTATTTGACAAAGACAAGTCTACATCCGGTAGAAGCCTGTGAACGATCCTGGCACTGGGTGCGCTGGGTGACTTCATCAGTTTGTTCACTCGCATACTTAGATTAGGACATCTTAGTGGGAGAACCCATGCGAGTACCGGGCTGATGGACAAACACACTGTGTCGGAGGCGTCTTTATTCCTCCATAAACTTCTCCCCATTTGGCCTTGAGAAGGTCCAGAGACAAGTGCTAGCTGGACGGTAGGTGGAGGGGTCATGTCATGGCCCCGAAAAAATGGGAGACTTTTGATTCGATGGGATTGTAGAGCCTCTTCTTCTGGGGAGGTGTTGTTTATCAAGCGTTACATTGATGAAGACTTGTGATCAATAAACCCCCCACTATTAATCACAAGCTCAAGAGCCTACCTTAGGACTGGTCTCTGCAGTTCTTCCCTTCTTCTCTTTCAGCTGAAATATGTCCACTGGACTGGGCAGGTGAAGGATGTCAACACCTGCAGGTCCTTTCCACCAACTGAAACTCCCGAGCCGGAGGATCCCGAGAGAGTTCGGTGAGGTGTTGATTTCGATCTTGCCACAGTGGCACTGTGTCACTCAAGTGCCCCCCCTATAGAAGGTTGTAGAGACGATCCACTTTTCTGGCACAAGCGAGCCCTACAAAATACAGATATGGTTATACCCCGCTGAATCATTCTTTGGGGAATCATGTAGTGCTTGACAGGAACATCCATCTTCACGCACCAGTGACTTCAAACCAAGACATGCGAAAGCACAACACTTTCGCACACCTCCACGGTCTATTTTTGTTGGAACTTCCATACATTTTGCGCACAGTGAGCAGTCTCCACCGAAACACCTAGAACAAAAACACTTATTATAAAGGAACACGGCCAAAAGCATCGAGGCCATCCTACAAAACTTTACCCCACCCTACACATGCAAGTTTACCTGCCAAACACAAGGACCTTGCACACCTAAGCCACCATGCAGGCGTTGATGTTTCTTCACCAAAACACCTGAAGTGCCGTCAGTGCCGGCAGTCCATCGTTAGAGGCCGAAGGAGCCATGATGCATATACCTCATGGTGAGCCCGAATCATGTCCAGCTTCTAGAAGCCTCAAAGCATCCATCCCAAATGAGATAGTTACACAAAAGAACCATCCATCCCAATCAAAGCCTGACCCATGAATCAAAGCCAGTGGAAAAAAACAAGGACCTCTTCCAGTTCCGTGCCTCTGGTTCTGGACTTCACCCACATCACCTCTGCTAGTTCACTCTTCACACCGCGCCTTCGGAGGCCACAGCGTTCCCAGTGTCAGCAGACACCTGCAGGCCAGGGTGAGCCCGAGCCCGAGTCCCGAGTGCAGCGAGCCCGAGTGCGGTTTCTTCGATGGGGTCCCGGGACAGTACCGGGATGGCCGTGGAGGCTTTTGGCGGGAAGGGATCAACATGGTAAGTTTCGGAAGAAGTGTCTCCAGGCACTTTGGGGGCACTTGGATGCACTGAAACCTGTGGATATTCTTGGTTGGATCTGGTGATGATGCAGGTGCTTTGATGATGCAGCAATTCTTGAAGTGACCTCCCTAAACACTCTCAGGTTGGGGGACCTCATCAAACAGTTGGCCAAGACCGGATCCTATTTCCTACTCAAAGGCCTCAGTATAATCCACCTACCACACTCTTCCCTCAAACCCATGTGTGGAATCCTAAGCTCGTCCATTTCACTCGAGTCAAAACAGCTTCCGTGGAAGTGACCGCTGTATCCACTATAATGACCAAGTTACCCAAAACGCGATCCTGGATGTCTATAATTGTTTATACGGAGGGGTCAGACCCGAATCCTCTGGAGGGGTCTGGGGTGTCTCACCAATCACAGGTGTTGAGGGACCCAAGGCTGTGACCGGAGTGTCTGGGTTCATGAAACGACTCCAGCCACTCCGGGTCAGACCGGCTCGAGCGCTGTGCCACGAGCGTAGACCCTGAAGCTTCAAACACTTCCAAACTCGACTCTTCTCATCTACCACCCAGTGGTTTTCCAGGCTCCGGAGTTGTTCCTCTCCAGGAAGGTGAGACTTCCGAAACCCACTGAGACCGGTGAAGAGCCTGTACAAATAAGTCTACATGGGTACCCATTACCAATAAGAATGGAGGATGGTTAGGTTGCAGGCCTTTCTCAATCATCCTGATAACGTTAGGCCGACTGGATCACTAGTGGGACACACCCTATAGGCCCTAAGAAACACTTCCACCAGCACGACCTACCACCCAAAACATGGTGGGACATCCCATGAAAATCCCTTCGGCCGTCTTAAAAAATAACTCTGCAAACTCAGACTGACTTTGTCATACTTTTGTCTCGTCTCGTCTACCCTTCCAAATGCTAGTCACGCATTCATGCTTACTCCATATATAACTTATGTTATAAGATGATATCATGTAAGATCCCAAAAGTCAAGTCGCGGGTGTTGCATATATCCAGCAGTTCTTAACAAAGATATGTCCAACAGTCCGTCCCAATCTGGATCCATTCATACACATCCATTCGGCTCCGAATCCCAAAGAAGAGACCACGACGTACATCCTGACGCCGTCGGAGAGGCGGGTTGTCGCACCGAGATGGTGTTGTTCACATCGCCCGAGTCGCTGCCCGTGGTGTCTGAGGAAGGCCTCAGAGCGGTGTTTCACTATTCCAGGGCCTTCAAGGGGTGGTTCACGGACACCCCGAATCACGGCTAAGGGGCTATAAATAGACACCCCGAACGAGTCGGGGTTCCTGGTTTGTGCTTTCTGTTCTTCCCTGGGGCTCCGAACGCCCCATCTCCGACCCGGTGACCGGTGGTCTTCGACCCTCTGAACCGAACCCCTGTCCCATCGAAGCGAAACGGAGCAACGGGCCGTTCGGAGCCCGTTCGGGGATATATCCCAGACTCGACCCCTGGAAACTATATGCCGCCGACTCCCCCCTGGCACCACCGGCAGACCATTCCATGGGTCGCGTGTCTGGGGATTCTCGAGGTGCTGGCACTTAGAGGTGTTGCTCGTCCCATCCAGTGAGTGGATCAGGGGCACCCACTTGGGCACCCCTTTGGAACTGGTATATTTGTGTTTATATGTGGTGCCTTTGTTTAAAGCTGGTCCGAAAGCGAAGCAAACAGGGGCCGAACTGTTTCAGGTTGTCCAATGTTGAAGTCCAAGATAGTCCAAGTCCTCGCACTTCGGGTAGCGTAGCGACAGGCTCGGCCCATAATCCAGGGGCTGCGGATGTGACAGAGGCACCGCTACTACAAATCCAAGTTTCGGCCAAATGAAGTGGACAACAGTGGAGCCCTGAAGCCCTGAAGTGGACTTCTTCCCGTCCCTTTTGTTCCTTCCCTCGTAGATCCAGTGCTCGGGTCTTGAAATCGCGCATGCACCAAAAGCAACAAAACTTAAATGATAAATTCAAGACACAAAGCACACCGCAAACCAAGCAGGGGATCAAACAACAAACGAAAAAGAACAGCAAGGCGGCAAACAACGGCAACGTAGACGATCTCCTGGAGCAAACATGACTCTGGCAAATGGGGTGCCAAGTTGGATCGTCGCTCCACTTCACTTGGAATAGCATGTTCTCAGGTTTCATGCACAGACCGCCAAGCCTGAAACAACATCGAATTCACAACTTATGAGAATCAAAGGGAACACCCCTAGCATTCCAACGGATTTGTCCGATCGAAGTTACAATCCATTTGGTCCGAAAACTCCTGGATCATGTCCGTACGTAGTGAGAGCTGTTTTCGTTCATTCAACCTAAAACATGGTGAGTCGGTGAGTTTCCGCACTGTGAGGTCTGCGGCTGAGTGGTTGTCCCCTGCGGAGTACGAAGCATCGGTGCACCGGAATCCACAGATTGACGGGACAGGGATCCGGAAATGGGTCTACCAAATTGAATGCTGGTCTCTTTATTCTTGTAATTTTGGATCACATTTGTATTATATGTGTCTGTTTCTTCTATCCAAAATCAAGAACAAAAATACACCAACAAAAACTCGCAAAGGGTGCCAGTGGATGAGTCATAAGTTATGCCGCTTTGAACAACGCTCGCCCAGTGACCCGCTCCGAATGAGAAAGTAACTGATCAATCTGGTGTCCAATCTGGTGGACTGAATTGTTCATATCTACATGTCGACAATCTATTAAAGGTGATGACACGCGTAATGACCATATGCTTGTATTTGCCAAGGAAGGTCGTGTAACCAAAAGTCCTAGCCAATTCCAGTTGTTAAAAGCCAGCATGCAGGAAATTGGCTCTCATACACGTTTATGAATTCTTATACATGATAAATTATATAGACAAAATATTAGATAACAAAATTATAGTATAGTAATGACAGGTTCCATGAAGCTTCCTCTATTTATTTTATCTCACAAAAAAAGAAACAACACACACACACTCACCATGACACGGGTGCATGAACCATTCAACCTTCCCCACGTTCAGGCAGCCTCCGCGGACTTGGCCGGCCCCGGAGACTTGGCTTCGATGGCCTGGCTGAAGCGTCACAGAACTCTCTGGTCCAAGGTGACTCGTCCAGGCGGTGTTTTCTCTTGTTAGATGTGTTTCAACTAGAGTCGAGTTTCGACCAGGAACCCTGGGCAAAGAAAAGCAACGCAGCAACGCATTGGCCAGAGCAAAAAATGTGCGAGGACACATGAGGACAATAAACACCAAGTGAAGACCGTTTCAACTTTCGACTTGAAGTCAATGAACATGCCACAAAGAACGAGCTCAAGCTCCAAGCACGAAGTCAAGTCATCCACCAAAGATCTGTCCAAACAACAGCTACCTCACCCATGTGGCCAGTTCCCCAAACATGACCAGTTCCCGCGCAATCCATGAAACCGACCAATCCATGACACCACCAGCGAATTCGTCCATCCAAGCGCCGGTGTTTCCACCGCCATCCCGGTTCGTCTCACGGCCGGGGGACCGTCGCCAGCGTTAACGCTGAACGGTCAGACCCGGCCTGGAATTGCATCATGGTGCTCTTCAGCTTCCACTCCTTTTCTTTGCGAACCCACCTGAAGACAGAAAGGAGACTGTGACTACATAAAGAGTGAACCCACTGTTCACCTGAAAAAGAAACGGCTGGAACTGCTGAAATCAAAGGTTCCATCAGTTCCATCTTTTCTTTCGCATTGTAACAGGAGGCCTCCAGAACTGGGTGCACTGGAACTGAGGCAGACCGTCGACACAACACCTTTTTTAGACCGTCGACAGACATCATCTCAATCATTACACATCAAAAAGGGTGCCGGGCCATATGGTTTCTGCTAAAATTTGATCAGGTATCTTGATTGACATGTCAGACGCGGTCGTGCACGTGAGCATTAAGTATATACAAAACCAAACACCATCCATTCAATGTTCACATAAAATGAGTGAAAAGGAGTGAAAGGATACACTATTTGGTACCATACTATCCGTTCAATACATGTTTTGAGTATGAAAGGAGTGCCAAATACATGAGTCTCTCAACATAAGTCTCTGTGCCTCGTCCTGCAAGGCCATCATTTGGAGCGATGAGGTCAGGCAATTGCCAACGATTGCCAAAACAGGAGTAACTGTCGAACAACAAACATATCATCGCAAAGGAGAATGCAAACAGTTGTATAAGTATAGGTGGTTTTGTTTAGATCGGAGAAGACACTCTGAATCGAAAACAACATACACAAAGGGAAAATCATTGCCTAGCACTTGGACCATGTGATGTCTACCCAACACAAGTACCAAACACGACCTGTTTGGGACTGTCATATTTGCCGAGACACGGCCAGGGGTGGCTTGAAAAGGGGTGGCTTGAGACGCGGCATGTATGGCAGTCCCAGGTGTGTCTGGAGTGTTTGTGTTTTCTGCGTCGCTGATCATGGCGACGACTCAACAGCTGCACGGTCAACATGGAGTTTACAGCTGTGACTCGTAAACCTTGGAAAAGGCTGGGCGGCTGGGGGGTGCTTCGTTCTGGGACAGGTCTCGCTCCACGAACACCGCCCAGCAGTTCCGACTGAGGCTCCCTGCATCTCCGACATCATCTGCCCTGTCACCTGCCCACGAAGCTGCCGTGGTCACCCTTGGATGGTCACATGATGTCACGTGCAAAGAAGGAGCATGGAAGCTGACCGCTACACACCTTTTTCATCGAAGGAGCTTGAGGAAGCTACCCCCTTACTAGGTGGGTGCTTGCTGAAATGGAACTGCCCTGAGATTCCGGGGGGAAAGAACTATACACTGTACACAAAGGTGTCAACAATTGACACACACACACACACACCCAAGAAGTCTTTCAGATTGGGGTCCATAATACAGTATAAGCCACCTTCTGGGGATTGTCCCATCTACTTAGCTCGGTTCCATCTGCATGTCCGGAGAAAAGCACCCCACGGTTGGAGAAAAGAAGCGTCCGCTCCGAGCAAGAAATCATTGAAGTATCTGGCATGGCCTCGTGAAAAGAATAGAAAAAAAAACACACTCCAAAGAGCAAACATGGCCAAATTCACTTTTTGGTTCAAAGCGACGTTTCAGCTCCGTGATGCCAAGCACGTTCAGCTTATGCTCAATGTTCAGCTTATGGTGGATGTTTTGAAAAGGAGATCCTCGTGATTTCCCGGCAGGAAAAAGAACCTTTCTGGATCTGAAAAGGGGTGCACCAGTTGTTCCTGTCTTCATCTGCAAAACTGTAGACCATCATCCACAAATGTCCATAGTCATCTATCTACAGTATCTATCTACAGTATCAATCAATCTATCTTTATATATGTGTATCACTATCTATCTGTCTGTCTGTCTGTCTATCTATCTATCTATCTATCTATGCAAAAACAATTCAATTCCTTTTTTGTCATGTTCGATTCATTATGTTCTCTGCTATTTGAAGTCGTCAAACCGGGACAAACTTGAACAAATCCAAGTCAACTGGCTGACCCTGCCCGCGCAGGCGATCCCCGCCTTGCCCAAGTTGGAGTTAAAAGCAAAGGGGCTGGAGACCTGAGCGCGCTCAGACCTGACCCCAACGGATGACTCGTTCAACAACCAACGTTGTGGTGTGCGGATTACATGTCAAAATATGATAAATTCATTTATAATCTGGTTGGCAAAAAAAAGTTCGGACTGTGGCAACCGTGAAACAGTGTACCGTGCCTTCAAGAAATCAATACATCTTGATCGTTTCTTTGCTTTCTTTGCCCCAGTAGTGCTGAAGTGTATGATTTGGGGATGGAGTCGCATGAGTTTGACAAGCACGGCATGTGTGACTCTGCTGGGAGAGTCACAAGGATGCAAATGGGTGTGTCCAGGAGCAGAGGGAAAAACACACAACATGCAAAACCCCTGTCCATATCCCAAACACTCCATGTATGCCATATATGCCTACATTGGGGTGGTTTGGGGGGTCATTGTATGCATATATGGCATACATGGAGTGTCTGGGATATGGTAATATGGAAGCCTTCTGTATTCATATTCATGTCCAATCTCAGTTTGCACTGCAACCGTTTGTTGTTCCTCTCGCCCTCATGAAAAGAGAGCAAATCATAGTTGTTGATGAAGATATTGACGATCATGATGCCTTTGGCGATGTTGCTGATGATGCAATGATGTTGATTTCGGTGAGCTTGACCATCTTCTGATATATCTTATCTCAGGAAGTCTCTTCAAGGCAGGAACCAGCTTTTTCCGGGCGGTTGAACTTGCAGAAACCGCCCCAACCATTTATCAGAGACTCCCGACCCTCCCAGAATGGGTTTAAGATGGTTTAAGGGAACATCTGCAGGAAACCAATGGTTTTCAGCCTCAAAACGAGTTCAAACCTACTACAGAAGGTACGAGCCTCCAAACCTACATAACAGTGCCTCCAGTCACCTTCTCAGAGTAGACCAAACATGACCAAACATCACTCATTGTGGCGATGGTTTCCAAGTTTTGATCCTGGAGAAGCCATGAGACCCACAGACCGACACCAGAAAACGGTCGACCGAGAGCTTCCATGTCCCACACCTCTGTTTGGACCCGACTCACCCAGTACCTTGGAACATGGGACGCCGCCTGACCCCAGTAGAACAGGATAAAACATGATAAAACGGGTATGACTGTAAGACTCAACTACTCCAATCAACACAGGTGGAGGGCATGAAGTGCTGAATGCTGTTGGGTCAAGTGTTGGAAAGGGTGGGTGGGCCTTTTGTGCCGTCATACCATCTGAGTACCCTCGGAACGAACACACAGGTCGACTGACGGTTGAGTCTCGTCTCTCATTGACCTGTGAGGTCCACACAATCACCGTGTCATCATCGAGCACCATCGCAGAGGACGCGTACCTGGCGTGGCCACTGCAAGGCCGGGCGTCCAGGGTACTGTTTTGGGTTCCTGTGATATTGGAACCGGTGAAAGGGAAAAAATACAAAGGAACAGCCCAAATCTGTGTCCATCAGTCTTCCCTACCTTCTGTATAGATTGATTGTCTTCCTTTCTCACAACTACAGGATAACTAGAAGTGAGTGTCGTTGTTCCCCCAACTGTGCAATCAGCGCGTTGTCTGAAACAAGCTTTGGCTATTGGCAACATCACAAGGCTTGTTCCAGGTGTCACGATGTTCATTTCAGGCCCGTTGGCTCACATCGTTGGTCTCAGAATTCATGCCAGCTAGTCAGCATTCATTAAATACGTCAAGACCCAGTACAAACACGTAAACTTCCCGGAGAACCTCCCGTCCTTTGGGTCAGAAGATTGAGGTCCAAAGCATCTACTTGATGTATCCGTTACCACATGGATCATCCAACAGGCGGTGGCTGGGACACCAGGCAACACCTGGGAGTTCTGCCAAAACATCATATGGCAGGCCTGGTAGAAGGGGTTGGCTCTAGAGGGGGACCTGGCTGGCTGCCAGAACCGTGGGCGGCCCCGAGAATTCCAGGCCCAGGGGAGGGGGGGCCTGCCTTACAAAACAAAAGAAAACTGGGGGCCCGCTCTTTTTTAAAGAAAACCAAAAAACACAACCACAAAAAACACACGAAACTGACCACAACGTTGATTGTTCTTTTTTTGGTGTGTGTGTGTGTGTCAGGGACAGGGTCTTTCAATGTTTTCAAAGCAGGGGCGCACGGCTTGTCATACCCACCGTACGCAATGAAGCTACGGTATGACGAGGGAGGGGTGGACTGATCATCCACCTGTACCTGCTTCAACGGTTGAGTACGCTGTTCCAATCCTTCTGTTTTGATCCATGGTGGTTCATGATACGTCCCCCAAACCCTTTTTTTCCCACCGCTTGTGTGTCAGATTGCAAACATTGTTCAACCATACAGTCCTCGCCGACCTTTTCGCCTTGCCGTTCCCTCACCATTTTCGACCTGGGAATTGAGCTAACTGAAAACCAATGTCAAAGTGTGAACCGCTCAGCCGTCCCACTTGGGTGCTGGGTGTGATCCCCGTGACAGGGGCGCTGAATTCACTCCGGAAATCGTGTAACGGATTTACTTCGTCCACTGCACCTTGTCTTCATGCTTGTAGCTTTGTATCTTAGTGTTCATCTTGTATTTGGGCTCAAGACTTAGCCATGCACTGTACCACTGCGCGCCATAGAAAAGACCGAGCTCACTTCGTTCGCTCGTCAACCGTTTGGGGCAATCTTGGTGTTATCGATCAGGTCCAGTATACATATACTGCCACTTTGGGGACTCACCCTCTCCCTCACCCTCTCTCTCTCCCTCTCTCTCTCTCGCTCGCGCTCATTCCCTCTGTCTCTCACTCATGCTCTTGCTGTCCGACACGCCTCGGCGCTCGGGTCATAGCGTCTTTGACATACGTCCGGATTAGGGCAGCAACTTCTTGGAATCATTCAACGCGTGACGCTCCTGCGAAAATCTGCAACTCCAGATGACTCCGAATGCGTGCAAGTTCATTGCCCAAGCCAGGTACTTGACACCCTCTCCTCGAAAAGGGTCACCGAATCAGTGGATTGCGACCAAATTCGAGTAGCCCACCGGCCAGTGATTCAAAAAGCGCTGGAGAGAGTCTCCCCCCCATGCATTTTCCCCTGAAATTGCTCGATCTTTTTCTTCAGTCAGTAGCCAGGCCAGGCATGCCTCACGCATACCTTGCTGCCCCACTTTCTACCGCCCTTCGGGCGTCGCCACTGCGGCAAAATTTTGCTTCCACTTCGTGGGAACTTGGCTTCCACTGCTTGATTTCGCCTCAGCGCAATCGCAGACAACGTGCTTCACTATGCAAGTGACAAGCCGCAACCCCTATAATCCGTTCATGGAACATCAAATGTTGAAATAATGAGGTATGATTATTCTGGCAGGAGTATTTGATTTCAACAAAGGAATAGACAATGATTGATTAATGGTGAAAGGAACCATAGTTGATACAACACCTTCAGATGAGATACTGAAAAAGAACAAAGAAGTTGAAAGTGTATGTAGTAGTTGTGTGAAGAATGCAAAGGTCAAAACATTTGAGTACATCAGTAGTAAGTACGAAAGGAATGACAAATTCGGTTTCAAATCACAAGAACTACAAAAGGAACTACCAGAGGAGTTTAAAAACATAGTGAATGAGAGGAAAGAAAAGCATTGTGAAGAAAGGTATTTAAGCATTAACTATATGACACGGTTGGTGGTTCTATGGAAGACAGTTCAAGAGCAAATGAATAGAATAGACAAGTGACAAGTTCGAAAAGGAAGTGGCAGACCTGAAAGGAAAACCTAAGGAATTACCTTTTATAGGGATAACTTTCTTTATGAGGTTGTTTAAGTGCAAAAATGCTTCCAAGGTGCGAGAAGTGCAAAAAAACAAACCCGACATCACAGACATCCAGAGGGTGTCCTTTTTGAAGTTTTCTGTATGTCAAAAAGAGACCAAGAGGACACCCGCATTTTCAGCATCACGGGCTTCAACTTGATAAACAATAATGTCCATAAGGCACACTTTCAGTGTCAATCATTCAATACCTTTTGTTGTCATAACTTGTCAGTCCTACTTTTTTACACAAGTAGACGAAGAATCTCATGAAGGGAACTATGCTTTGGGAGCCCACAACATCAAAAGATTCATCTCTTCAGAAATTTGTCCGCCGTCTCCATAATCGGCTTAAATGTCAATGATGACTGCCTTCGGGCCACCCCTCCCTGCCCCAGGCCTCCGTTGCTATCCCACCCGCTGTTTAGGGTTATAGAAGGAAATCGCACTCAACACACTTGTGTGTTGGTGCCTTTCCTTCTATTTCTCCTGCCCTACCTCTAGCTACCCGGGCGGTATAAGACCAAAGTCCCGCTCGCTAACTTCTGCACGTATTGTAACTAGCGGGCCTCGTAACTACACCTATCTTTCTTTCTTGCCCTCTTAGTCTGCTTTTGTTTTGTTTTCTGCGTCTGTCCTTCTAAGGCTTTTTAGGTGGCTAGTAATCTTTCCGCAGCGCCAATATTGGCGCTATATGTGTACAAAGCTATGTGTACAAAGTCGTGTACAAAGAGCGCACCGATTGCGGCCTTGTGTTTGTGTATGTATCCATACATGCGCTTGAGGCTTTGCGTCACAAACGACGCTACTAGGGGCTTCCGGCATCGCTTTTGTAGGAGCAAGGACGGTACTACTCCGTTCTACGGGGAGCAAGGACGCTATACTAGGGGCTCCTGGCCTCGCTACTAATTTGCAAGCAGGGGAGAGCGCGCCGAGTACGGCTTCGTGTGTGTGTGTGTGTCCACACCATGCGCCTATAAGGTTTTGAATCACAAAGGACGCTGCTAGGGGCCCCTGGTTTCGCTACTAAGGGCTCCTGGTATCGCTATTAGCGTGCAGTTTGTCAATTTTTCAACGCGTTCACTAACCAGCAGGGGGCACAGGCCCATCGTGGATACCTGTGCCAACGAAGCTGTTCCACGATGGGGGGAAGCGGAGATTGATCACCTCCGTGTACCTGCTCGAATTTTTAACCCAGCTCGAAGGCATCCAGCAGTTCAATCCAAAAAAACATTGTTATATACCTTCAAATCCGCGGACCTACCACCTTTCCTTTTGCGCTTTTTCAGTCAAGGTCTAATGCATGTAAAGTGGGACTTCATACTGATCCTATATAGCTCTTGCGAGCAACCATCTAAGTGTGTTTTTTTGTGGTATGACTTGTGTTTTTTCCTGAAAGCATTGCGAAGGGTTCTTCCGGAAAATCCCTTGAACACTGACACTTCTACACTTACACTCACACACTGACACTTCTACACTTACACTCACACACTGACACTTCCACACTGGCACTTGAACACTGACAATTCGACACGTACACTTGAACACTTACGCTTCCACACTGACACTTGAACATGAACATGAAGACTTACACTTCTATATGTATCCCAGTGTAAGTGGAAGAGTGAAAGCATCCAACGGCAAGTATCCAAGTGTAATGCAAATGTGAGTATGGAAAACTTGCACGGGAGATGTCCTAATGAGTATGCAATGAGTGTGCAGTATGCACGTGTGAGAATGGAAAACTTGCACGGGAGATGTCCTAATGAAACACATTTCCCCACTTTATAAATTTTCTCTTAAAGGCGGAGGGTGGGACGAACACCGTCAAACGAAAATGCAGCCCTCTGCGGAGATCGCGCGTGTCGTGTGCGCGAAATGCAGGCGAGAGTGCGATGTGGCCTGTTCCCGCACAACCCTCTGCGGAGATCGTGCGTGTCGTGTGCGCGAAATGCAGGCGAGAGTGCGATTGGGGCGGTCCGCACGCAACCCTCTGCGGAGATCGTGCGTGTCGAGTGCGCGAAATGAAGGCGAGAGTGCGATTCACCGGGTGCCCGCGCAACCCTCTGCGGAGATCGTGCGTGTCGAATGCGGGAAATGCAGGCCAGAGTGCGATGTGTCCTGCACACCGGCAACCCTCTGCGGAGATCGTGCGTGTCGAGTACGCGAAATGCAGTCCAGCAAGCTATCTGTCCGATGTGCGCGCAACCCCTTTGCGGAGATCGTGCGTGCTTACATTGTCCGCTTTTTTATAACAGGTTATGTTAGTTATGAGAGTTAGCTAACATGGTCAGAACATAGTTGGAACATAGTTGTAACATGGTTTAACAATGCTAAAACTTACATATATGATATTAACTTTTAGTAACAGTTAATTAACTAAGATAACAAGGCTAACGCTAACAGTGCTAACTCTGCTAACTTTAGCATTGTTAGCATTGTTACAATGATGTTACTAACTTCACAAAAATAGGATGAAAACATGTTTTGATAAATGAAAACTGGTTACATTTGTTTTTCAGTGCACACTTGTTCATGCATATACAAAAGAATTAGACATCAGCATGTATGCAAATTGTAAAAACAACATATGTTGTCAAAATTAACACAACATATTGAAAAGTATTGCTAATAAACACATGGTCACAGGTGCTTTTTGATGTTTGCCATGTGTTGGCCATTGCAAATGTAACCATATTGGAGCAATTTCTTGAATGGTTTGTGGCAACATGGCAAGCTGTGTGCAACAAACATACCAACCCAACATGACAATTTTAATTTGCCAGTTTTGAAATATATGCAATAATGTCACTTTTTAAAATATGTACCTTTTTAGCAAAAGGCCTTCAGCCTACAAGCAAAGGCCTCAAAACAAATAGCAAAGGCCTCCAACCTACAAGCAATGGAATCCAACCTAAAAGCAAAGGCCTCCAGCCTAATAGCAAAGGCCTCCAACCTAATAGCAAAAGGCCGTTTAACCTACAGGCAAAGGCCTCAAACCTAATAGCAATTTCCTCCAACCGACAAGCAAAGGCCTCCAACCTACAAGCAAAGGCCTCCAACCT